GAAGGACATTCATGAGGGCTGGCCGGGCCAGCCGCAGGCTCAAACTACACTGCCTGTTTCTGCCTGGTTCTTATTTGGTGAGAGGATATGATCCAAACAAGTCAACGCGTCCGCATCCAGTCGCCAGAAAGCACGGGCGTGGTTGACCATAGCGGCCTTCAAAGGGACAACGCTAGAAGTTTCACGAGATTCCCACAAGGTCAAGATTTGGATGATCCAGGCCAAGGTCAGGAATTTTCCTAGGGGGCGACTTACTGCGCAATATTTGTCCTTTGCTTGGAGGTTCGGTCCTTTTGCCTCTTGTTGAATTTGGCACACATGTTGTGGCCTTTTGAGCCTTGGGACAAATTTCAGAGATTGAGTGGGAAGTGTTGCCTTCCTAAGTCAGCCATTGCATTTGTGGGGTCCGACCTCTCTTTTGGTTGAGGGGCTTCAAGGTTGCTTCGTTTGGCCCCAAGGTGCGTGGGTCTGCTCTTGGTGCAAGCTCCCACTGTGGAGACTTGCCGTGCGTCGTGCTTAAACGACCCCAGGCGCGGCTTTGCATATCAGGAATGGTAGTCTTGCATAATTAGGATTGAACAAGATTGGCTGTCTGGATGCTTGGTCTCTATGGCATGCTAATGCGCTGGAGATGGAACGCCCAATAACTTCTTTAATTTTTGTGCTTGGGCCTGCCAGGTGCCCAGTGTGGCAGTTCAACCCTGGACAGACGGAGGGTGGCTGCTGGCAGGGTCAGGCGAGTCTGATCGCACTCACTGGCTTACCGCTGCGAGTTTGACTAGGGCCACCACTGCGAGTCGCGGAATGGCTTCGCCCTGGTGCAGTTCTCTGGAGGGCCAGGTGCCCAGAGAGCTGAAGAGGACATATCAACGGACCGTCGGACCGTCGGACCGCGGTCGGGATCTGAGGCAGCGCGTACAGCATGGCAGTGTCAGGGCGGCAGCCTCGGCTCACCATTACGCCCACCATTTGTTTGTCCCTTTTTTTAATTTATGAAGAGACCAAAAGTAGAGCAATTCTTGATTCTATGCTTCTATGTTTTCTATGTGTTTGAGACAAGTTTAAGTGGACAAAGCGGCCAGAGGTGCAGAAGTTCAGTGCCTCGCAGAGGTCGAGCGGCAGCTGAAAGGCGTTGAGGTCCACAACCTCCGAAAGATCGGCAAGCTGAAGGAGGATGAGGATGCGAACATAGAGCGATGCAGGTGCGCAGTCTTTGGGGGGATGCTGTGACATCGCCGGTGGCTGGAGCTGCATGCCAGGGAGATCTGCTACTCTGACATCCTCTGCCGGTATTGGCAGTGCGCTGGAATATTGCTTGGGATCGGTGGTTTGTGGTGCATTCCGCTTGTGGGCAGGTACAGCGCAGATGGCTGCCGTGTGGAAGATCCAACGTGCCCCGGTCTTCGTCCGTTTCTGGCCGTGCGCGCTCGAAGTGCCAGGTACAGTTCCGCTGGACTCGATGACGCTAGCACCACCAGCAGCTATGCCCAGAATGTAGTGGCTGGCGAGCTCATCCAGCACTTCTGCGGCCCGGTTGCAATAGAGCCCTGAAAGGATTCTCGCTTCTGAGCTCCAGGATCCTGGTATTCTGACCGAACATGGCTGATAGCCGCACACAGGACATGAGTTTCCAGAGGCTTAGCCCCAGGGTGGAGTTTGCCAGCCCATCTCGATGGAGGGCCCTTTGCCTCCTTCTGCCCCTGAGCTTTCAGGCCCGCCCCGCAGCCTGCAACGGAATCCTCCCGTTCTAGGCTCGGGGACAGGGAATGGCTGGGGGAAGGCAGTTTGTATTCTTGCTGAATGCATGTCAAATGGCAAACAGTATTTTGCAATTCGCTGGTGCATAGGTGCAACCATGATCTCGTGTGCGTATCTCAAAGCCAATGTTCAAGTTGAACGTTGACTGAGTCTTTCTCTAATGGCGAAATGGCGCGCTGGGGGAGCTTGAAGCCAGTTGGCGCGCAGGAAGGGAGGAGCCAGATCCCTTGGGAGCTTTTGCCAGTTGGAGGCGCACTTGCACTTTGGCAAGTTGACTTCGAATCTCAACTTGTGCGACTGCAACAAGCTCTTTGCCCTGTGGTGCAGAGGTAGATCAAGATGCTTGTGTGTTTTCTGCTCCCCTGTGCCTTTGCTGTGGAACAGGCTGGGCCGACCAGGTTGATGCAACCGCTCAAACGTGAAAGGCTGGTGCCGTACGGCATCTTGGTGTCCTTGATCATCCTGATGCTTGCCTGCTTGGCCTTTTGCGTGCTGGACTTCGAAAAGGACGGGATTGGGTCGGGGCTGGGCCCTGCCTCTGAGGGCGGATCGGGGCTTGTCCTGTCACAGCTTCGACGGGGCAACGATTTAGATTTATACGACCCGAAGGCAGCTTTTCTTGCCAATGCTGAGCGCAGCTTGGGAAGCCCTTGATTCTTTCCCTACAAGACAATTGGTGCCCAGGACAGCGCGGATCACCCGCAAGGCCGGAGCTTGTTGTGCAAGCTCTGTGGGTTTCTTCCTGGCCCCACCAACAAGTTTGCAGCACGGATCTGATTTGGTTTTCCATTCGCGCATTGCCGCGTTGGCTGTAGTTTGACAATGGGGCAAGGAACGGCGGGTGCGATTTTTGTGCACGTGCGTTAGTTAGCTGGCAAAATGTTGTCCTGAAGGGGTCATTGAACCCCCACACTTGCCATCCCAATTGAGCCACATTCTCTTTCAAGCCATTCATCCTTTGGCATTCAGAGCGTTTCACCAGCAGGGGCATGGGACGCTTTCAAATTGTTGTTTCCGCAAGCGCCTCTTCAGAATATGGGTCCGGACACTCATTGTGCCGAGTGTGCTGTTGGGAACAAGAAAACAACCGGTACTAAGGTATCACCAAGCCGTTTTGTTCATGGTCGGAGAGCAGCTTTGGAATAGAAACAGATTGCAACGCCCACAGCTGCCATCCAAGCAACTCAGCCCTTTGTGTATTCTCCAATCTTGCCCTCGGCAACAAACGCCTGTGCTGCGGTAAATTGGCTTCTCTTGGGAGTATGGTTGAATGGACCTTCCAACCCAGTTGTGGTCAGTGCAAGTTTTCCAACGTTCGCAAGTAGATCATTTGTGGTCTTTCTTGCACAACTCGTTCCTGGCTCAGAAGCGGCTCCAGAACCCAGGCAGAGGCCGGGCGGGTGAACTTCGGTTGGGGGAGCCTTGTGATGGGTGCCGCAGGATCTCAGGCATCAATCGTATGCCTTGTCAAGGACATGTTTTGTAGACTGGAGAGTATGCTTCAATCTGTCAAACTATGATTTCTCTTGCCGCAACTCGCAAGGCGGACAAGTCCGCTGCTACTCGCTTGTGAATGGGCTGTCCTCATGGGGCGTGTTGCACTCGAAGTTTGGTCCGGTTGTTTGAGAGGCTCTGTGGTGGAAGGCTGGCCATGCATCGGGCGAAGAGTCTTCAGGTGGCACGCAGTGTTTGTCTCACGCGCCACTTTCGCAATAGCATACTCAGAGTGAGCCCACATCACGCGTCAGCCTGCTGACTGGAGGGCGAACTTCTGACTTGTGTCTGTTGGTTTTCATTAGCTCCCAACGTGCCCCCAGCGGCATGACTCGCAACGTGCCGCCCATGTGGAGGCCGCCTCGCTGGTCTGACGCGCCGCCCGCCGCTGGGCTGACTATCCTTTTCGGGGACTGTGCGGAGTTGTCACACGTGTTGGCACACTGATGGGATTCGTTTCTACGCGAGTTAATTGACAGCGGGCAACTTGAGATGATGTTGGCAGGAAGTTTGACCAGCGCTCCATTTCGTGATCCTTCAATGCCTCAATTTGCAAAGAAGCATGACTAGTTGGCGCGGTGCCGCCAGGCCGACCCAAGCTCAAGGGCGCCTGTGCAAGTTAGATGTGCAGCCAAAATGCCCCTCACTGCTAGGTGAACTTTCCCTTTGTGGGGTGTGATTGAGGAGCCTCCGCCTTATCACCGCAGAAGTTTGGACATCAAAGCTGCGCTTTCCATTTCTTTTTGGCGGCTTGAGGCAGAATGCGTTCCCTCAGACAGAGCTCTCTCAATTTCAACAAAATGTATTTTGCTCACGCAAGTTTTTGTTGCTCTTTCCCGATTCAAGCCTATTTTACAAAAACTCTTGTCCAGCGCGGCTTTGTGCAAACTTTGAGCAATATACCCGAGTTATGTTTGGCCGTCCGAAGTCTATAAGATATGATCACTGCTTCCTCTGCGGCTTGCTGATCGCGGCTCAGTTGGCAAACGACGGGCAAAGGAAGGCTGGCTCCAAAAACAACAATGGCCCAACAAGACTCGCTACGTTCAAACTTTCGGGGGAATGTGATGAAAGTGGAGTTCAAACTTTGCGTTGTTTGGTGGGTTTACCTTTGTTTCTCTTTTAAACCATCCAAACAGGGGATGCTATTTTAGAAAGCAACTGTCAAGTGAGTTCAAGGCCCCGCTGCAGATGCAGCTGGCATCGCTGCCGCAGCGGTTCTTCCCGGTGCACGTGGCGCCAGTGAGGCCTGCAACAGGGAACTGAGGTTGATGACCGGTACAGCGCTGCGCAGCTTACCTTGTTTTCCTATGCCTTGTTTTGAAAGCAGTTTCTGGAGTGTGTATTTTGCATGCTTGCTCCATCTTTGCGGTCATGGGTTGGAGCTTGGTTTTCTGATCAAAACGACGATGACCCAGACCAACCCAGTACGTAGACTGTTTCATGTCAAGGATTCTCAACATCCCATTCTCAACCTCTCCAGGTAGAACCGAGCTTACCCGTGGTGAAGGTCCTTTCCTGGGAGGTTTCCTTATTGCCAGATTGAGGATTGAATTATAGTAATTTGTGCAGAATGTTGTTCAGCAACTGGGGTAAGGGTGTGTTTGTCAAATAAGCATCCACATTGCCTGGCCACAATTGCCCAGGTATGCGCAGTACCCGCGGATGTGATTCAGAAAATAGCGCGATTGCGACGGTTTGAGCCCCTGTCTGGGAGGAGCTTGAGGCTCAGAGAGCGGGGTGTTCAGGAGTGTCCCGCGACGGAGATCACGCGATCTTGCACGAAATGGAATTATGCTCTAAGCTTGGTATGACTTTGCTGTTCTCGTTTGTTCTCTGTATTGGCCCATTTGTATGCTGTCCCTGGAGCTGAGGTGTGCCTGGACTTCAACCAGCTGCCATGGGCTGTCAATGAGGCTGTTGAATCTGAGTGACGACAACTGCCTTTTAACAGTTCAGGCAATCATGGAAGGGACTTTAACTGGGAAGGGGCATAATTCTAGCTACAACGTGTTCAACTTCCAAGAGTTCAGCAGTGATTTCATGCCTGCCCCGCGCCAGGCGTTTCGAATCGCATGTTCCGGCCGTCCTGGTCCATGCCACATTGACCTGCCCAAGGACTGACTCTTGCACAAACCACTTGAGTCTGCAGAGAGTGGCAACCTGAACTGCAGGTGATTCGTTTTTTCAGGTTTTGGCAATTCTTTGTAATTTGCTGTTTTGCATGGCCGAGTCTCACAAGGCGATCTTCTCGTGCCAGGGATCCAACCATTTTCAGAGCCTCTTTTTTGGTGCGCAACCCTGTCAGGACATCGTTTCAATGAAGGCAAAGGTGCCCGATGCCATCTTCAGAAAAGCATCGACCGCATCAGCAGACGCTCCTCCGATGCTGGACACAGGTGCCGTGCAGAAGGCCCGAGCCTTTGATGCGTGCTTCTCACGGTGGCGTTTGCTCAAGCCCTTTTGTTCTTGTCGAGGCCGCCGATCTCATCAACAAGTCAAAGCGGCCCATCCTTTACGTGGGGCAGGGCCCGGCCGCCCAACGGCCCAGCTCTGGGGATTAGGTCGCAGTGCAGCCGTCACCTCAGCTGCAGCCTGTTGCCAGGGGCGAGCCACTGCCCGGAGATTGTGACGAAGCTGGCCAAGCATGCCAAGTTGCCTGTCACAACTACAGCGCACCCGGCCACATCTTTGTGACTCCTTTGTGGCTGCAGTGCTGTTGCCTCTCCTCAAATTTGCCGGTCTTGTATACGCCTCTCAAGTTGGGTACCCTTGTATTGAGGGTTGGATCGAACAACAAAGGGACATTGACAGCTCAAGAATTCTTAAACGTCAAGAGTCACGATTCATGCTTGTGGGCCTTTTGACAAGTGATCAACGCTCTACATGGAAGGGGTCTAGGGTAATGCACGGGCAGCTGCGCAGTGCGCATGTACAGTCCGTGCGGCGCAGATACATTTGCTGCACAGGGCACAGACAATGCACGTACACAACAAGCATTGTGTGCGCATGGTGTGCTCACTGTGCATGCACTATGAACCTAGAATGTGCGCACTCATTGTATGACCACACTGTACTGGGCAAACCATTCACACACACACAGTGTGCGAAAAAGGTGTGTGCCAAAATATGTTGCAGGTGCCGTCTTTCTTGTGTTTTGGCGACGCGCGCACACAGTGTCTGTAAGCACACCCTCAAGCGCGCCTGCAAGCACCCTATGTGAGCCCATGGCCGTACGTTACACTTGTACGTTGTGTGCACGCTCTTGATCGCACGACATCCACATCGCTGAACCCCGTCAAAGCATGACTCTTGATACTGTGCCAGTGCCACGCGATGGGCATTTTTGACGAGCGGGAACCTTTGTCCATGCACATGCTGGGCATGCATGGGACGCTGCCTTAGCGCGATTTGCGGCACGTGGGCCTGATGATCTTGTGCTAGCCTCAAGCATCTAGGGCCGCCTATGCCAACTTTGCAATCCAGAATGCGGACTGCATCATCGCTGTAGGCAGGGATGAAGTGAGCTATCTCTGCACGGAACGAGGCAAAAAGCTCGTTTCACAGAGGCATTCCATTCTGTTCCACATGGACTTAGCACAGCATGTCACATTTCCTGAGGCAGCAGGTTTGACGATCGAACAACCGGGATTGTTGCAAAGTATGCGCCGAAGGCGCGGCCCGTCCAACAAAACAGGGATTTCTTATATGAGTGACTCGTGCGTAGTGACTCGGCGTGCGCTGTCAGAAAATCTGCTTTTTGCCATGACACAGCCATTCAGACACGCAATAGAAGAGCACGCCACAGTCATGTTTCACCAGAATTTGACATCAAAAGAGCGAGCTACTCATCCAGCCCCACTGTTTTCTAGACACCTAAAAAGTGTTGTGCAAACAAACTAGACCACGGTTGGCCCGAACGCATCACAGCCCGGCGATCATTCCCGCGCAAGTTTTTTGCTCAATGTGGTCACGAGCAATACACAGCAACTAACCTTGTTCCTGCTATCTTGCCACCTATCGGACCCACCCTCACACGAGTTTGCCAAGCACGTCAAAGATGACACATATATCGCCCTCGAGCAAAACAGTGACTACACCGCAAATGACTCTCATGATGACTCTGTGCAATGACTCTCATGATGATTCTGTGCAATGACTCTCATGATGATTCTGTGCAATGACTCTCACAATCACTCTGTGCAATGACTCTCGTGATGACTCCGTTCAATGACTCTTGTGTGATGACTCTATGCAATGGCTGTCATGATGACTCTGTGCAATGACTCTTGTGTGACGACTCTATGCAATGGCTGTCATGATGACTCTGTGCAATGACTCTGCTGCGATGACTCTACGCAATGGCTGTGATGACTCTGCGCAATGACTCTGATGATGCTTCTGTGCAATGACTCTCATGATGACTCTGTGCAATGACTCTCATGATGATTCTGTGCCAATGATTCTGATGATGATGACTCTGTGCAATGACTCTGATGATGATAACTCTTTGCAATGACTCTGATGATGATAACTCTTTGCATGATGACTCTTTGCAATGACTCTGATGATGATGACTCTGTGTAATGATGATAACTCTTTGCAATGACTCTCATGATGATGATGACTCTCTGCAATGACTCTGACGATGATAACTCTTTGCCACGACTCCTCACGATGATGATGACTCTGTGCAATGACTCTGATGATGATTGACAACTCTTTGCAATGACTCTCATGATGATAACTCCCATGAATCCAACGGAAGAACCCTTCTCCATGCTTTCGGGAAAACTGCAAACTGCGTGCTGGTAAAAGACAGTGAGAGAGAAAGAGACGAAGAAAAGAGACTTAAGTGAGCTTCGGCAGGTTGCTTGCACAGACAGCATTCTTTGCAGCAGACGTTCAGCTCTCCGCATGTGTGAGTTGGCACGTGCAAGGCCCGTGCTGCTGAGAAGGACGGCACCGGTGGCATCATTCACATCAACATTGACAAGTCGACGTTTGGCAAAGTGCCCCTCGAGAGATCGCGCGGGGGGGTGAAGATGACAGAGCAAGCGCCAAGACTCGCCAGACTCGCTGTTGCGCACGCAGGGCCGGCGGCAGCAAGCTTGTGTCCAAAATGATCGAACACATGATGAGTAAAGGCTTGTTTGGCAGGGCGTTGCCAGCACCTTTGTGTAAACCGACAAATTGTCTCTTGCAGGTTTAGGCGAGATAAGTCGTTTCTTCCACTTCGTGTCATTTGTTGCGACACGCAAACTGAGCAGCTTGCGACTCTCTGAGAGATGCACCTGCACCTCACGGTCTGACTTGGGGCCTAGGGTCGGTCCTGTCGAGGTATTGCAACCCACCGTGGCGGTTTGGGCAGATGCAGGGCATGCGCTGGAGGTGCAGTTTGGGGCTGGTTTGGGCTTGAGGTTTGTGCACTCGTCTGGGCTTGGCTTGGTTGGGCGGCTTTGGGTTTGGGATGATCGATGTTTCAGGTGGAGGGTGTATTTCAGTGTGTTGTATAGGGTGACGCTTAGGGTGTAAGAGGTGGATTGAGCCTGGAAGGGTAGATAGCCGTTTTGAGTTGTGAAGAGCAGCCACGGCAACCATTGTACCTGGCTCTCTCATTCTAAACCATCAGTGCTTCCTCAGTTACCAGCTAGCGTGCCGTGCTGACTTGCTGTGTTTTTCTTCACCCTTCACTGGAAGCTTGTGTCTGATGCCCAGTGAGGAAGGCCACGAAGCTGAGTAGCTGGATGATCCAACAGGATTATATAAAACCACACTTTGTGCTGATCCTCGCAGGCTGCGGTCTATAGCTGCAAGCTACATATTCCGCTTGCTTCCAAGAACACTTTCCATTTCTGGCTTTTTCCACACAAAACAAGCTCATGCTTAAACTAGCTTTTCTCACAACCGGGTGTCGCACTCTCCTGCCACCTTCACCTTGCCAAGCCACATTTGCAGAAGTTCTGAAGGGCCCACTTTATATATTGGAGCGCTGGGCATTGGTGCGGCAGGCGCTGGAGCCATTGCTGACCACCCCAGACCGCGAGGAGTGGCTGAAACAGTGCCAGGCGCGACAGGGCAATCGGTTGAGTGCCTGCTTTCTGAAGTTCCCATTGAAGTCGCCTGCGGTGCGTGAATTGAGTTGGGACACTTGCAGCCACTCGCAGCCTGCAAGTGGCTGCAAGCAGCTGCAAGTGGCTGCCAGTGGCTGCAAGCGGCTGCAAGTGGCTGCAAGTGGCTGCAAGTGGCTGCATGCTGAGGCTGTTGCTGATGCTGCTGATGCTGGTGGTGTTCCTGAGCCCGGTTTTCAGCAACCCGTGCCGCGCGAGTGGTTCTGTTGCCCCTGCAAATCGGCCTCTTCTCCCAGGTCGGCTGTGCGATGCTGAGGGTGATGCTGCTGATGCTGCTGATGCTGGGGGTGTTGCTGAGCCCTGTTTGCAGCACAAAAACTATATACAAAAACTCGTGCCGCGCGTTCTGTTAGAGGGCGATGCTGAGGGTGGTGCTGGTGATGCTGATGATGCTGGGGGTGCAGCTGAGCCATGTTTTCTGCTAAGAATCTCCGGGCCACAGGCTAAAATCCCATGGGCAGGTTCTGAGGGTCACCCTGTTCTCTTACCCTTGTTTAAGCTCCCTCGAAACCTTTGTGGGAATGTTGTTGTGTGAACAGCCGACACATGCATATGGATGCTTTGGCTCAAGGCTCAAGACTAAGATCCAATAGAGTGCTGTAAAGAGACAAAAGGGCCGCGATCCGCTGTTGCAGGGTTGTGAGATAACGCAGGCCATAGTCCTGTGAGAAAAGAGAAGGGGCGATCGAAGTCGCTCAAAGGCTCAAGTCCGTCAAAGATCACCCAGGAGAACAAGACCCTCAGGCAGGAAGTGGAAGAGGCTACGCGCAATTTGGCTTTGCTACAGGAAGCGTATGATAGTCAACAACGTGACGACCGTGGCAATGTTACGCGCATTCAGGAACTGGAACGGAGAGCTGGTATTTCGGAACAGCAAGTAGCTCACATCCTCAAAAGATCCGACGAACAACTTCGAGAGGCTGCTCAACACATCGATGTTCAACGTGGCAAGACACAACTGTCCGAAGATCAAGCGCATCACCTTGTGAAGATCTACGGAGATTATCAGGAAGAAGCCCGTCATAAAGTCCTCGAGTACGAGAAGCGGCACCATGAGATGGCCACAACCGTTGATCTTCTTGAAT